AAAACATTTTGTACATTTTCTTCCTTAGCAAAGTTTTTGTTTTTTTAATTTCCTATTAGAAAACTGACCCTGTTCGGTAAAATCGATCCATCAACTTTTCGAAGGATATTTTAATTGGTGTTCGACGTTCTGGGATTCGTCCTTTATAAACTATCCCAAAATCTATACCACATCCATCAAATCTTCATTTGAAGTATTAGTAAAAAATTCGCGTGACTTTTTGGAAGACAATTAAATGCAGGGTGTGCTACTATAAAGTAATACATTTTAACTGCCTACTAAACTTCTTATATTTGCTTCAAGAGCAAATGCAGATTTTCCCGAAACTACCGAAAAAAATGGCCTTTTTTAAGCTAAATTATCCTTTACTTTAAATATAACATCCTATATTTTTTCATATAATCTGAAAGTCTTTTTACCTTTCTTAAAATGTATACATTGTGATTCTTCGTTAAAGGTTTGGGGGAGATTTTTTTTTATGAACCCAGGTTTAATTTGAAATGCACAAAATGCATAAAGAAAGTTTATAATTTCTGTTATAACAAAACGTTTTAGATTTGCTTTATAATTTTATTTGCATTGCTGTCAAGTATCGTAGTTTGTCTATAAGTCTCATAAAAGGAGTGTTTACTAGGCTTTAGAGCAGTTTATAGAATAGTTTCGTAGTACTCGGCTTTTAATAATTATTTTCGACTTTTTCTAAAAGAAAAAAAATATGTACCTGTAGATAAAGGCAGGGGCAGTTTCGTCATTTGTTTAGTAATGCAGTGAACTCCCAGTTAAATTTCATAAAAATACATTATTTTAAAATCACATGAAAATATAAATTTAATTTAAACAGGAATTTTATTATTTTCATATAAGTTAATCTCTATTTTTTGGTATGCAACTGCGCCTGGCTCGTCGCGTCTCTGTCAGTGTACTATGCTGATTGAGCACCACAGGTTTCCGTAAATACTGTAGTTAAAAAGAAATGTCAACAGATCCGTAAAACAAACAATATGACCTCTTAAATCCACACTAATGTGTGCATCGCACATAAACAAGGCGTGGCGTCATACAGTAGGGAAGGGCATGTGAACCTTTCTAATTATTGAGATAGAACTTTTGCATTACACTTTTTTGTTATATATCAGCTTTGGTGACAATAATTTCCATTTTATAAAATAGCGAAATTTAAATAGGTAATCTAAAAACATTTTTATTCTGTCAGCCTTTAAATATAAAATTATTAACTTTAAATTAATCAAAATACGACTAAAAGTGCGGCCTCTTGTCATATCGCAAAATATTGTTTATATCGTCTCTGCTTCATTCTATCCTGGTGTTTCCAATAAAACTAAATAAATTATAAAGCCACATAAGACAATGTTAATTGTGTTTATTTAGAAATTGTGTTTAAATAAAACTGCAACTTAATTAAATCGCAAGTATGTGTATCAGTTCAACAATTATTACCGAACATCGTCTCCAAAGTATATCATTTGCTATTATTTTAAGCATATAAGTATTTTTGTTAATTTGTAATTTTAAACAATAATTTAGTTTTACGGCTGTAATTTATATTTTGTTTTTAGTTCCAGTATCTAAGACTACTTCAGAAGAGTCATATGTTTTACGCCCAACTGTAAGTACTATGCATTGAGCAAAAAAATTGTTTCCAACAAAAGACCTAAACGAAGTTTTAAAAAGAAAAAAATCCGTAAATAGATACAACGTCATTAGAAGATATTTCACACAGACAAAATTTAATTATACCCGAGTGTATCGGGTAAACTATAGCAACTTTATTAGGTTGACTTTTATTTAAAATGCCACTCTTTCATAGAAAAACTATCCAATTTAAGCGATGACTGGGTTTCATCAAAAAATGGGATCTTGTAGCAATTATATAAGGTATGACAATATTATTATATGTTTTATTTGAAAAAGGTTAATTTCTTGACCGTAGTACAATCTTATCTCAATAATTGTTTTATTTTGTAGGTTGTCCCTAATAAATTTAAAGTTATAGAAATGTGCCCTATCCAATACTAGAGGTACTGATAAACAGTGTCAGACTACAGAAAAATTAATGATAAACTTGATTACATTTCATTTCCTTAAAAGACGATATAAAAAATAAATATTGCACTGGCATAAATCAATTTAAGAAAATAAATAGTCTTGTCTATGTTAGGTATGTTATGAAGACTAAATTAAATATTTAATGGAAAGCAAACTGATCTATGTCGACATATAGCAGTTTTATTAAGATTATGTTTTTAAATTCCGCTCATTGAGATCTTTCCAGGGGCATAATATACCATGTGTTAGTGGAATCACAATAAAAGTTGTAAAAAAATAACACTATGTTTAATAAACCTACGAGTTAAACAACACCATGTGCACATAATTTTAACTCTCACGTTAGTCGTAATATTGATAGAGGCATGTTGGAGGCATATGACATAGAACATTTAATATTATTTCATAGAAATATGTTACAAAAATCAACAATTCATGTATATAAAAAAAAAGTTTTTATTAGTTGAATTATTAGTAAACAATACATATTGTGACAATAATTGGGGCTAAATGCATTTCTTATCGAAATACAATTAATAAATCTTAATGTGGAACACAAAAGGTGTCCAGAAAACATTTACTCTACTGAAAAGTTGACTAGAACGACGTAGTGCAGTTTACTTGCGTGGTACTGATATACCTATTAAACAATTTTAAAAATGTTGACTTTATCATTCTTTTATTGTACCTATTTTTATAGTATATTATGTATTGTTTTATCCTTGAGTATATTATTTAAATTTGTGTAATGTAATTTATTCCATGTATTAGTGGAATCACAATAAAAGTTAAGGAGGTCCTTTCGCCACACCTCTCGCCCCAAATGTTAAAAAAAAAGTTATTAGATTATGACTAAAATTAATTTTTTTCTAATAGTTGAAGTCCTTATTTATCTAATACTGAACTTTTAACTATACCTTACCTTGCACATTTTTGAGAATTTTTTTTTAATGTGAGTATTTGTACAGTGGCTCACGAGAAAGTAAGTCCTCAACAACAATTCTCGAATTATACTATTATTTATTGATTGGATGGAGTAGAAAAAAAACTAAAAATAAGGTTTTTGAAATATTTAGATTTTGTTTTATACAATCAAATATATATAGTAAACCGTGGAACTTATTGAGAAATTAATATTAAAAATTTTAAATTTTAAATTTTAAAGTAACCTAGTTGAAAATTTTTTGTGATTTTTTAATAATAATTTCTCAATAAATTCCACGGTAACCTATATATTTTATTGTAAAAAACAAAACCTAAATATTTCAAAAACCTTATTTTTAGTTTTTTTCTACTCCATCTAATCAATAAATAATAGTAAAATTAATTATAATTCGAAAATTGTTGTTGAAGTCTTACTTTCTCATAAGACACTGTACACATTTAAAAAAAAAATTCTCAAAAATTTGCACGGTAAGGTATAGTTAAAAGTTCACTATTAGATAAATAAGGACATCTACTATTAGAAAAAAATTAATTTTAATCATAATCTAATATTTTTTATTTAACATTGGTGGCGAAAGGACCTCCTTCAAAAAAAAAAACAATATTTTCAATAAACTTACGAGTAGTTGGGAATCTGACGCCTTGTAGAAAACGTTTTAAAGATGCTCTATACAAGTCACGAACATCCAGCTAAAAAACATGAAATCATATGTAAAATAACCTGCCGGATTTGAATTTTTTATTTGCCCTCTGATCCGAAATTGCGAAATGTGTCAAAACATGACATTTTTGAAAAAACTGAAAATGTTCATTAAAATATTTTTTTTTTGCAAACTAGAGCATAACTTTGTTAATTGATGTCCGATCTTAATGAATTTTGGATATGATATTTTTCAGTACTTCCCTGACAAAATTTTATAACAGTAAAAAATATAGGATATCACATAAAAGCTACGTATTTTTTTTTTTCGCTAGATAACACAAAATATCGTCATTTGGCAGCATAAAATGGTGAGTCAAGAAAACTTTTTTATCTTTAAAGATAGATAACTAGTATAACCGAGAAAAATGTTGTCGATAGAGCAAGGAAACTTTTTTACTTAAACTTTTTTTTCATACGATGTTTAGTTTGAGCTGTACACTTTTTTAAAACCAAAGAAAATTGAATCGGCGCATCTCATCTCATGGCATTGCTGCTGTTAGATGCGATGCAGCTAATAAAGCGATCAGTGGTCAGAGAGAATAAACATCACAGCCTTCTTCATACGTGCAACAAAGATGACGCACATTACAATATTATTATGATACTATAGGGAGTATAGGGGGAATTATAGGATTGGGAAATAATAATAATGATTTTTTTACAAGCATGAAACACAATATTATTATTATCTAATTAAAATATTTATTGATCAATGCATTTTCCCTCACACTGGCAACTTATATTGCATCTTACATTTGCTATTAGGCATTTACACTTATTATCATTAATGTTGGCACTATACAATTATTGTCTCTGCGTTCGTAACCAAACCTTAGAATTTCAGGCATATAGCATATATGCCGTTTTAAAAATTGCGCATTATAAAAATGCCCTTCTCACATGAAAAATAAAAGAATCTTCAGTTGGCGGCAAATCCCTAACAAAAGGTCATTAATAGAACTTTATTTACCAGTATAATAGCATAAACTTCAATGATATATTTTAAAAAGTAATAAGGTACATAGAGTTCTATAGTGAGCCAGAATCGTTTTAGGAATTTTATTACAGTTTGTAAAAAATGTTAAGCTTATTTAAACTTAATATTTATCTTATGTCTGTTTTGCAAGTTGGAAACATATGAGCTCTTAATTCATCCATATTTCCTCTAAAGTCTTTTCGGTCATACAAATACTTAAAGAATAGCCTACATGATGATAGTAACTCGTCGGATATTTCATATGAATTACATGTAATACTTTTGGTTCCAAAAGATAAAATAATCATCTCATTTGGTTCTTGAGACAATACTATTTTTAGGGCTTTTTTTGCCTTTTTTAAACGGAAAGCTAACAGAATCACATCCAGATAAACAATATATTGATAACAAATTGTCTACTAATACTTTAACATCTAAGTGCTTCAAGTTTGTTACTTCTTTAATGATTGAGAAGCACGGGATAAATTTATTTTCTCTTTCTATCCAAATTTCGACATCTAAGGTAACCGAGAAACACATTGATAAAACAAAAACATCTGTGTCCAACGAGTAAATAACAAATACATTAAACGTGTCTTTAAAAAAATTATTAATTGCAAATATTCTTGTATCAGCTTTTTTATGACCAGTAAACTGTAACTCATCTACCACTGTCGACTCCATTTTTGTGCATTTTATTGTTGTTTGATTATCTTCTGACATTCCTGCCAATACAATTTCAATTTGATCAGGTATAACATAATGTTCTTTCATTAGTTTTTGTGCTAAATATGCCAAGAGGTTCTTTTTATTCCAAAGATTTGTTATAAATTTCTTCCAGTCAGGTATATCAAGTTCGTCTCGTATTTCGTATGTTTCAAAATGACAATTTGTCGATCCTCTATATCTTTCTGTTTGTTTTAAGCTTTCTTCAAAATTGTAACGATCACCAATGCATACTATTAGACCACAGTTTTGAGGCTTTAACTTTACTATTAAAGACACGTATTTTAAAAATAATTCTCGAAATTTTCTGCTATTAAAATTTTGATATCGCTGAATAAGTGCCATCATATCTAATATATAAGCTGTATTAAAAGTGGCTTTCTTCTATTGGCATGCAGGAAAGCTTAACAGGTATTTCTTTAATTTTTCTTAACACAGCCTTATAAAATTCTGATTTGTTTATTATATTTATGAAATTTCGCCTATCCAAGACAACGTCCATGTAACTATTAAGTCAGATCAAAAGTGCTTCTGCCGTCGCCGCGTCATCTTTGTTGCACGTATTGTTACGTATTAAATAATAAACGTTTTATAAAGACAAAATGTTACGTTTCAAAGATATATTATTAAAACATATTTTGCACCACGTTAAATTTCTAACCCTTTACCTGGGTCTCATTGTAAAAATCCTTATAATAAGAATTCTTACAAGCCTCAGGCCTAGCTCAGATCAAAATAGGTCAGTGGGATTCGTTTAGAATTTACCTTCAAGTCAATGACAAAGTCTTTAATTAAAAAGAACTAAAAGAATTCAATGAAATTAATTTTGGGCGCCATACTTTTAGATGTAAAATAAAAGCAAATTTGTCATCAACTTGTCGGTTGAAAGTAAAAAAAAAAAAGGACTAAAATTTCAAAACAATTAATCGGCTTTAATTTAAATTTTGAATTTGACTGATTACATAATAAAAAGAAAATTAAATTAATTGATTTTAACACATTTTTCAGATTACGTTTTACCAATAAGTTTAAAATAAAAATTGACTAGTGACTCAAAAATTGTGTGTGTGGTCCTGGCCGACACTTATCTTGTGTTTCCGGATTTAACGGTCGAACTGGTCTGGTCCCTGTCTTAATGGTAAGTGAGCGGTGAGCCTACGATGACTTCAAACACTGCAGTTCCTTACGCAACTCAGCCCAAGATATTCCGCAGCTCTAGTGGCAACTAGCTGACAATGATTCTGCAGTTCCAGATTACCAAGGACAATTCCTTATTTTGTTCCAGATCCAGAGCCTTATTTTGGTACAGATCCAGAGCCAGTTCCTTATTTTATTCCAGATCCAGTTCCTTATTTTGGTACAGATCCAGAGCCAGTTCCTTACGCAACTCAGCCCAAGATATTCCGCAGCTCTAGTGGCAACTAGCTGACAATGATTCTGCAGTTCCAGATTACCAAGGACAATTCCTTATTTTGTTCCAGATCCAGAGCCTTATTTTGGTACAGATCCAGAGCCAGTTCCTTATTTTTTAAGAAAGAAAAAACGTGTCAGTTACAACAAAAAAAAAACGTATCTTTCCATTGCTTCAAAAAAAAAACAACACATGTGTTCAGCAATAAATCTTACAATTTAAATTAAACATTCTTAAATTAAACATTTCAAATTTTACAACAATATTAGAGAGTTGCAATAGTATTTAATTTAAAACACATGAAGAATGGAAAGATCTTTTCAAATAACTGAGAAGAAAAAAATATAAAATTAATGGCAGCCATTTTGTACATTTTGGAATTTATATTACGCGAAAAGCTCACTATTAATAAAAGAGATAACTCAAAAGATAATTTCAGCAGAATATGCACACAATAAAATTAATTTCTACTTTTCATTAATAAAAAAAAATTCGAGATTACCTTAGTTATTCGGACACACAAAGCACTAAACCCAACCGGTTTACCTCGCTGCTAGATTGAAAAGAAAGTTCAAAAGCCGACAGCTGACCAAATGTGTGAAAAGGTGAATATTCCCCATCCATAAGTAAGCCAGGCGTGCGCACGACATCTGACCGTAATTATTGATTTTTAGAGAGAGCGCATCATTGGTTGGGCTATCGAATGTCTTAGACAGAGACAAATTCCCGTTTCAACATAATATCTATAATTCCAAATACGAGGGGCGCTCAATAAGTATTAGAATATATTGGAATAATAATGAACTAATTAAATATTGTAACTATTAAAAGGGAGTGACGATTACAACGTAACAAAATATCTAATAATGCTAATAACCGTGTCACATGTACTGATAAAGTTCATAGAGTTGAGGAAGCTCAAAATATGCCAAAAATTTTTGACAATGTTAGGGATCGCTTAGAGAAATCTCATATCACGTCTGCTAAGAGGTATAATATGCGTAAGAGACCATTACGGTTTACCATTGGAGATCGGGTTTGGAAAAGAAATTTTATTAAATCAGATAAAGCTGGTTTTATGTCGTCAAAATTGTCAGTCAAATTTATACCATGTATCGTTACCTTTAGTCTATCAATTAAAGGATTTAAATGGTAAAAATATAGGCAAATGGCATATTAAGGATCTCAAACCAGACGAGACTCTGAGTGATCACCCCAATGATTCAGATAGTGTCACCTCTGATAGCGAATAAGTTTGATACTTGTTGAGAGAAATTTGTATATTATAATATGGAATAGATATAATTATTAGTTTGTTTGGGGTTTTAAATAGAAAATTCAATTTGGAATTTTATATAGCAATCATGATTTTCCCAGTATTAAGTCATTTCTGTACCTATAATTAGTAATTGAATTAGTGAAATGATTTGAAGATTTATTCTTGTTGGCTGATGTATTTAGTTTTTTTTTTTGGAGACGTCTGAGAATGACTGGATATTTTTAGCTGATGGGAATAATAATTTTTATCTGTTGGGAAAATTTTTATTCAGTGGAATATATTGGTAAAATTTTTATTATTCAGTGGAATATTTTGTAGAAATTTTTATTCAGTGGAATTTTGTTTTATCTCATGGAAAAAGTTACTCAAGGAATACATTGATTCGAGTTTTTTTTTTTTCTCGAAAATGTCTGATTTGCATATTTAGATTTGATTGGAACTTAGGATGGCGTCATGAACCAACCTAGAGTTGCCTTAGTTACATTTTGATGCATAGGTTGCATTTGGATGCATATGTATAAGATTTGGGAATTCAGCTTAACAATTATAAATTAGTTAATCCAATAATTAGAGGTCAACGTTTGATCAGTTAAAGGGATTTTGTTAAATAGTTAGGCATTATGAATTCAGATTTTAGTTTTTTGAACAATTTTTGGGTAGTTATTTGAATAACATAGATGGTATCAGTACGATGAGTAACTTTGAGTATTATATTTATATAATATTGTTGGGAGTTTGTGGAATTAAAGTTATTCCAAATTAAGGGTAATAAAATTGCTTTTAGGCATTATCATCTCTCTCAACAGGTATCAAAAAGCTATTCGGTTTGTAATCATATCTAGGGATCATGAAATTATTAGGTATATCTTCGTGGTTGGGTACAATTTATATACATTGGTAAGGAAATCTCTTTTAATGTGTTACTAGGACCGTGTAAGATTTGTAAAAGAGTGTGGATAGTTTTTTTTTATCACAGTTTAACAAGTATAGTTATTTTTGGGTAATTTCCACCGCGTTTGAGAGTCTGTTTTGTTTTCGACAGACCTAAAATGGTGAATCTAGTACGTACCTTGGTTTTATTTTTGATTTTAGTATTATATTAATGAGGAATATCAAAATGTCAATTAAAGATAAACTTTAGAATAATTGTGGATATGTCTAACGATGATTATGAGGTGGACATATGAGTTTTACATAATCCAGTGTCAACAGCGTTGACTTATGAATTTTCTAAGATTCAAATAAAAGTTGATGTAGTGATACTAGTTTTGTTTTTTCTTGAAAATTAAATTAAATAACTTAGGGAAATTTTAGTGATTTTGGACTTTGAAATTTTTTTTTCAAAATTTAAATTTTTGGAAATTTAATTTTTTTTAATTTAATTTTTTTAATATGAATGTCACTGTAGTAGTGTAATAAGGAGTTCTATTCCTCTCTTCTCATTGGTAGGTACAAGATTTATCATTTGGTATTGTTATCACTCTAGTTATTTGAATGTTTGGAAGTAGGTTTGTTTCCTGTGTTAAGCTTTGGTAAGGCTATACGTTTGCACATAGTATGTCAGCTTTAGGATGTTGCGTTGCAATAGCTGATGACTAGTCTTGTTTTGGTAAGGTTATACAGGTTGCATATAGTATGTCAGCTTTAGGATGTTGCGATATTGCATTGCAATAGCTGATGACTAGGTATCGAGAATGGGTTTTCTTGTTGATGACAGGTTGGGTTTGTTATTAGTTGTTTCAGACAAGTATTAGGAGCTAATGGATCATTCATTGATACAATGGTTAGCAATTGTTGATGGTAGCTCGCTTTTACCTTTTGGAGTGTGTCTGGAATGAACGAATAAATTCTTATCTTTCAAAGATAGTAGATAGGCTTACTTCCTAGTCATTCATATTTTCTTTTTGAAAATTAGTGATTTTTTTTTTGGCACTGTGATCTTTAAAATTTTTTTTTGTCCACAACTCTGCTTGTATTGACTTAACAATTGATGAACTCTGACGGATTGTTGGTGCTGGATGTCTGCTGTAAATGATGTTGAACATTTGGTTTGATCTTTGGTACAAAGGTTGGTCATTAGCGGTAACCTATGACTACTGTGGATGTTAACGGGCAATACCCAATGAACCTTATCGATGTGCCATTGGTTTGAATTTTTTCTTCTTCATCTTTTGTAGGAGCCTCTGGTACTAATATTTCGTTCGCTATTTGGTCATTGTTTGGTAGGTAAATACTTTGTTGGTCGGTATCGGTTTCTTCATCCTAAATAAATGGACAGGCTATTGTCAATAGTTCTTTCGTTTTCTTTTCTAATTTTTGTAACCATGTGTTTCCGGACTCTCTAGTCATTTAATTTCTTCTTAGTCAGTTATAGTTATTGTTATTTGGTATGCAGGAGTTAATTGTTGTACAGTTTTGGATTTTTAGCTAATTAAAAAAATCTTTCATACTTCAAGATTTTTTTGGGGGACTTGGTGGGGTGTGTTACGTTGTAATCGTCACTCCCTTTTAATAGTTACAATATTTAATTAGTTCATTATTATTCCAATATATTCTAATACTTTTTGAGCGCCCCT